GAATAAAAGTAACCAAAAAGCATAGCAAAATAATATACCATAATCTAAAAGTATAAACAAAAATAAAACATTAAAAGAAAAACAAAAACAAAATTAAAAATAAAAATAAAATTAACAATAATTAATAAATTATATGTCTAAAATTATAAATAAAAATAAATATAAATAAGAAAAGAATAAAAATATTATTTTTGTATCTATTAATCCAATAATTTTTTGCTCATGTATAATGTAATCTTATCAACTTTCTTTTTTATTGAAATCCAATCCTCACATATGTATTTCCTTACAAAGGTGTCCATAGATTTCTTTACCAAAGAGACTGATTTTTGTAATCGATCTACTTTTCCCATTTGTAAATAATTTTATATAACTAGGAAAACGGAAACCGTTGAGGGTCCGTCGCTTAATACGTTTACATACATATATAAATAGTTACACAAAATGTGTTGCTAAAAATAAAGCGTTACAAAAAATGTGATACAAACATAAAAGGAAATAAGCAGGGGCTAAATTATAGTGACGTAGATGGAAGGAAGGAAAAATACATGGGTTAAACTGGTACTGCAAATTTATCTAGTTCCGTACAATAAATAGTCCTTCGCTACGCTCCGGACAATTAAAATTAAAATTAAAAATTATTATTATATAGTTTAATCAATAATGAAACTGATACTAGTTGATGATGAAATTGAAATTTTTGGCAAAAAAAGTTTAGGTAGATATTACTATTTTAAATCATATTAAATATGGATGTAAAGTAAAACCTCCAAATGTAGTTATTTTAGAATCTGGTGGAGTTCTAAATTTTGACAAGGGTATATTTGAATCTTTAAAAATATACAAAAAAGATTTTGAATTAACATCAGAATAGTATTTGGATGTAATTGCTGATGAAGCAATATTTTGAAAAATAATTAAATTAACAAATCAATGGCCTTACCTGCATCCTATTCTTGAATAATAATACATATTCAAAGATATGTGCAGTGTTTTGATTGTTCTTTTTTCAAGTTATAGCATTTTTAATCTTGCAAATTCACTTGAAGTTAAATTTTTGGAAAAATTGGAATCTGTTATTAATTATAGATTCACTGTTCGTATTCTTGAATTAATATAAACTGAAGTATCTTAGCAATACGAATCTACATTAAAAAAAATATTAGTAAGCATGAAATTTGAGAAAATGCAAATTTGGCGTTTCAAATCTGGTACCTTTACTATTAATAGGCCAGAATATTCAAAGTTCATCATATT